ATTCATAAAATAAATTTAAATACTTGAAGATATGATTAAAATCAGTTTGAATCAATTTTATTCAAAAATCAAAAGATAAAAAGGATATATATATATAAAATAGGAAAATGACCCTTCATGTACCCAATTTCTTTCTCTAAAATATCCAGAGATATTTTATGCATGTATAATTATTTTCTCCTTTTTTCCTTGTATCATACTATTTATCATTTCTGCACCTCCCTTATTTTTGTTTCTATGGCTAAATTATAATTAATTTAACTAAACCCCCTACAGATTGACATGAAAATTATTTCCAATCTTTGGCTATTACAAACAGTGCTGCAGTGAATAACCACTGTCATTTTGTCCAGCATGAGAGAATATATGTAAGATAAATGTCTAGAAGTAGATGTGTTGTGTCAGATGATATATGGTTGTAATTTTGATAGATACTGACAAATTACATTTTTAGAAGTTGTCCCATTTAGTCTACCAGCAATATATGAGAGTGCCTATTTTTCTACATTCTCACCAGCCCAGTGTGTTTTCAAAGCTTTTGATAGGTGCCAAGATTAGAAGTAAAAAAAAAAAAAAAAAAATTAGTGTAGTTATTTCTCTTATTATGAATTAAGTTGAGTGTCTTTTAATTTGTAAAGTTTTTGTCATGGATTTTTCGTATTTTTTAATTGGGTTTTTGATCCTCACTTATTGATTTGCTTGGGTTCTTTATGTTTTTGGACTTTCTGTCCAAAATCACAGCGTTTGAGGTTATATTTAGAAAGGCTTTTCCTACTTCGAAATTAATTTAGAAAATGAAGTTGAAGTACTTTTGTAACTTCACTTTTACATTCAAATATTTAATCTCCTGTTTTTTTATTTTACTTATTTTTTAACTTGACAGGTAAAAGTTGTATATATTTATGGTGTTCAACCTGGTATATATACGTGTGCATATGTACACATTGCAGAAAGCCTAGATCGAGCTAATACAGATATGCATTACCTCACACACTGATTTTCTGTGGTGAGAACACATTAAAATCTACTCTCTTGGTGATTTTCAAGTATACAATACATTGTTATTAACTATAGTCNTAGATCGAGCTAATACAGATATGCATTACCTCACACACTGATTTTCTGTGGTGAGAACACATTAAAATCTACTCTCTTGGTGATTTTCAAGTATACAATACATTGTTATTAACTATAGTCACCACATTGTACAATAGATCTCTTGAACTTATTCTTCCTGTCTAACCAAAATTTGTATCTTTTGACCAATATACTATGTTGTTTTTTAAATGAGTGCTAGATATGTCACCCAGTAAAAGTTAGTGGCATCAAATGAAAGCCATCTCCTATATATATTCACTATGGCAGTAGAGACTTGCAATCTCACCAGTGATTCATTTATTCAATAAACATTTATTAGCAGCTACTGCTTCTAAGGCATTGAACCTAGTGGGGGATACAGAGATAAGTCAGTGATGAACACTTCCCTTCAGAAAGATAAATAATGGCCACGACAACAACAATAACAAAAGCAAAGATTTAAAAGATACTTTCTACCTGCCAGGCATTTGCTTAAATCTTACACATGTTATCTCCTTTATCTTGATGGAAACCCTGTAAGTGAGAGTCTCTTCTTGTTTTATGTATTTACAGATGAGGAAAGTTAGTGACTGGGAGAGTCAGGGTTCAGATCTAGGCAGCCCGATGCCCGAACCTGGGCTCCTACCTGCCCCCCACCCCCCTTTGCACACCTGGACCACAGGTAAGCAAGGGACAGATGGAGTGCTAGACCGATTCGTAAGGGTGCTGGATATCAAAATATCTTTAAAACTTTTATTCACGTTTGACGTTAGCACTGTATGAGATTGGTATCCTTGATGTAAGTTCTCAATTTCTTCACTTACTCTTAAGTTATTTTTTTGGAGGAACAGATTTTGGAATAAAATGGTAATTTCCAACCAAGCATTAGTAAGCTCCTTCTTTTGAAAAATGATGATAAAATAGTTAAAATGTACAAAAAAAGTAACACTTAGTGGGGAGATGTTGGGATGATCAAAGAACTTATCACTTGGAGGTGGAATTACTTCACTAGTGACTTCCTGTCCAAAAATCACAGCCTTTTTTGGCACCGAGGAAGTTACTAATACCAGCTCAAAACTTCATATGTAAATTAGGCCCTTAATAAATAATTCTGAAAATAAATTTAAAGGTAAATATATGTGTGTATATGTGTGTGTGT